GTATGTATGTATGTATGTATGTATGTATGTATGTATGTATGTATGTATGTATGTATGTATGTATGTATGTATGTATGTATGTATGTATGTATGTAAAAATTTACAATGTAAGATCTTATCTAGTTTAAATAAAAATTTACAGCTAATAATAATTTGCAGCTTATTTCAGTAGAGAGGTTAGAATAAGAGTGAATGTATGGACTATAGGCTAGTACTAAAAAAAGCGGCCGTTGTAGAGAGGTGGCCGTTAGTGGAGGTTTGACTGTAGTTAAAGTTGCTTAGAAATTCGTCCTTTCATATTACTCGAACCTGAATGACAAAGAAAAACGTTGGTTGGAGAAGTCGACTGAGAGGCGAGGACATCACTGGCATAGAGAATTGAAACGATTCGATATGTATTTGTTAAGTGTATTTTTTCAGATATGTATTTACAATCCATGTGCCAGAAGCAATTTTTTAACACCGAAGTAAGCATTGGCTACAAAACCTAAATTCCTTAATTCAGATCTTCTGGCTGCTCCGAGAAGGGTTGTTTGAATGCATATGACTAGCCTCTTCCAGGCGTTCAGTTAGTTGGAGCGCAGCGCGAAAAACAGCGCGCGAAAAAATATAAAAAGCATGGCGAGAGGAAGCGAAAGAACTTTCGTTTCATCTCGCCGCGTTTTTTTTTTTTAATTATTTATTTTTTCCCGCGCCGTTTTTCGCGATGCGCTCCAACTAACTGAACGCCTGGAAGAGGCTAGCATATGACCTGTGATTACTTCACCTATAAAATGCATCTAAATGCCTCTGTATAGTGTAAATAAAGAATTGAATTGAATTGAATTGTGGATCAAAACCTTTTCTTGCCACGATGTTTGCACCTCCTGCTCTCTCATTACCCTCATTACCCTACCAGCTACACCGTGATGTTTTACATGTAAAACAAAGTAATTGCTTTCTCTGATCTGATATGTCACGTTATCATGGATAGTTAAACAAAAAGACAAAGTGAAACTTTGTGCTTTATTCTTCCAAACAAAACGTCTCAAATAAATATTGTAGCAATGGCATTTTAGCTGTGAAACTAATAAATGATAAGTTGAACAATGCAGCAAGCCCTCCTCTCGAATAAGCCCCTCCCCCCTCCCCCCCCACACCCCTCGCCTCATCCTCTTTTGGGAGAAGGAAATTTTTCGAGCGTCTCCTCTATTTTTTTAATCCCCAACACCCCTTTTACGGTCCATCTCGAACAAGACAACAAACGGCAGGTTCTAGCACAGATTTACACACACCTGGACACAAAAAAGAGTCTAAATATGACCACTTTATTGATGAAAGTGCTGTCCAGAAAAGAGTAGTACATAGATGGCCAGCCTTTCCCTAGCCTCCACCCCTCCCCTCAAACGTAAAACGTAGCTCGCGGAGGTGCGGCGACGTCACGTGCGTCACGAGGAAATCACGGACTACTCTTATCTCACTTCCGGCGTAAGCCGAAGTTGTTACGTCATGTTACTAAGCAACCCTGTCAAGAAACTTCATATATTTTAGAGCCCATTCCTTTTGTACAACGGGATGATATCGAGGCAACCATAACAGTGCGTCAAATATGGCGGCTTGGCAGAGAAGATTGCAGAAAGAGCTGATGGAAATCAAAACTAAACCGCCGCCAGGAATGCGCCTCGACTGTGATTCAGTCTCTTCGAATCTTGCTACGTAAGTTTCAGGCTTTCTTGTCTTAATTCTTAAAACACCGAATCATTGTTTCGGCAATCATAAACATCGATATTTGTACGAACTTTAATTTGAAACCTATGTGCACTTCCGTGAATTGTGCCGAGTGTAAACGTTTGATTCTCTTTTGCTGTTTTAGGTGGATTATCCATGTAGAAGGAGCCCCAGGTAAATAAATTTTATTACACTTCATGACGACATTCGAGAAGTATCCGATGTGGACGGCTCCCTAGAGCGTGATTAATTCTGTTCTGTCTGAAAGCTGAAGTTAGCTTTACGCAGGCGAAAGTGGAACATGCATGTCATTGACTGTTACTATGAATAGCTTCTGAGCAATTGCATATCTGAAATAACAGCTAGAGTGGAAGAAAGAAAAGGTGAAAATGTTAAAAGGAAGCTGACATTTTCGATTTAAAATGCCGACCGTATACTGGGTGTCGAATATTTTTGCAAATGGAATGATTTTTGTTTTCTTTTTTAATTTTAAGTGTCAAGTGTTTGAAGTGACTCAAAATGATGGGCAGTCAGGTTGTTTAATATTGTTGTCACTCTACACATTTTATTTTTATAGGTACATTGTACGATGGTGAAAAATTTCAGCTTGAGTTCAAATTTGGATCCAAGTATCCCTTTGAGTCGCCCGAGGTAAGGAATTAATGTTTTATTTCACTCCCTCTTTTCTGGTTTTAAAAACTCAAAGTACCGTAGTTTGTCACATGGAATACACTCCAGTTAAAATGTTTGGGTGAATAAACAGGCATACATGTGGCTTTTAAAACTATGCTGTGTCTCTATGTCCGGCAGCCAGACAGGTTTTTCAAAATGCTCCACGTCCTGCAGTCAAAATTATTTTTTAGAAATTTCAGTTAATAATGTCAAATCCTTGTTTTTATGGTTGAATACTAATTTTGGTGAGCCCGGCACCCAGTATATCGGGATCTATAACATAGACTATTATAAACTGACCAGCAGTCAAAACGTTTCAATAGCAATCCGGTTAGCCTAAAAAGCACTAATGTTAGAAGATGAGGTTCCCAAGTCCTAGTCGTATGTAACTATTCTTCTCGTGAAATGCCCTTACTTAAAGGAAGCTGTGATAGAGCTTGTTTTATATATATGTTATTATATCGCTGTGTCTCACAAGGACTGAGCTGAAAGCTACCAAATTTACAAATTTGATTGGCTGAAATCTATATTGAAAGCAGTCTAGATTTTCCCACCTAGACCGGCACTAGACCGGTAATGTTTTGCGGTGAAAAAGTTGCAAACTAAAATGCAAAAATATTGACTACTGTATTTTCTTCTAACAACATTTATTTATGGAAGTGCCAAAAAGGCTGATGAGAAAAAAAAGCAAAGAAGAAGAGCAAACTTTGGCAGAATTAAGTTCAGCTCATCGTCATTCATAAGCAAAATGCCAGCTAGTACAAACCAGTTACATTAATAAATTAATTTGTCTGTGTTTGCCATATAATAAACATCTTATTAACTGATAAGTTTTCCGACCAATATTTGGAACAAGAGCTTTACTAACCTTCCCCCCTTCATTGAACATTGACAACTAAAACAAAAACAGACCAATTACATTACTTGTGCATTTTTTTGGTACCAATCAGATCACAAATTTATATTATACAATATTTCTGAGCTGTGGGTAAATTTTACTGGTATTTTCTGTTTATTTGGAAAGAATTGATTGCGACACTTTATTGTTCAAAGCCCCCAGCAAAAAATGAATCATGATAATTACAGTCGAACCTGTATATAACGGTCACCCTGGGGACTTGAGGAACTGGCCGCTTAATACAGGTGGCTGCTTAATACAAGATCACTCAAAATACTCACTGGGCGTGGTCTAATGTCTACAAAAACACTTCATGCAAGGAAACAAGAGGACAATCAACACTCTTTCAAGAGATCAATACTTTAAACAACGTTCAGTGCCAACTTGTAACTTAACGGTATAATATATGTAACATTGCGTAAAAGTACTGTGGAATAAATTGTTTTCTACTCTTCTATGGTGTACAGTACTGTATTTCTATGACTTCACAACAAAGTATCTCATTCCATCATTTCATAGTTGTTACGCTCAATTTCATAGTTGTTGCATTCGGGGTGGCCGCTTAATACAGGTAACAATAACAAAGAAAGACAAACATAGGACTACAGGGTGCTACGGCTGCTTAATAGAGGTGGCCACCTAATACAGGTCACAAATACAGTGTTTGTATGAGCAAAAAAATCGGGACTTTGAAAACTGGCTGCTTAATAGAGGATGGCCGCTTAATACAGGGTTGTTATATACAGATTCGACTGTATAACCTTTTAGAGTTTTGCTCTTTAATGAAGTTAGCCCCCCTGTCTATTGAGCTGTATTAAGCTTCTTGTGGGATGTAAATATGGGTTATTGACCAAGTGTGAGGTCAAGATGGCTAGATATTGGCCAAGTTCTTTTTTTGCCTGTTTATGGACCGAGACAGAGTCAAGGTCCATAAACTTGCAAAAAAAGAATGACGCCAATATCCAGCCATCTTGACTGAACAAGCTTGGTCAATAAAGGATTTATTATGTGGCTCTCGGGGAAATTTTTCTTGTGCAACACGGAGGGTAGTCCCAAGCGGGGAAGACAGCTCCATCTTGCCCACTTGGGTAGCCAATCACAGCACAGGATTTGATTAATCTTGGCAGCTCATGGAGCTAGCCATATGATAGTAGAGAAGAGAGCGTTTTCATGTGACGTCATCAAATTCTTAAATCCAAAACTAGAGGGCCACCAAAGCTTTTATCCTCATCACGCATAAGAGGTACTAAAGTTATATCTGTTTACAACTTTCCAGCTCAATATTGCCCTTTGTTTGGAAACCAGCGCATTTTGATTTGTGATACATGTATAAAGCTGTGATCGCGTTTGTTGAAAAATATGCATTCATCTCGTGCTTTTTAGCTGTTTAAGATGTTATTGTATGTGGAAAAGTGCTTATTTAAATGTTTATTTGTTCAGTGCAGATAATCATTGTCCCAGATAACCAAAGTAAGTTCCAGATTTTAACACTGATTTTCGGCCGCCATATTGGTGTGCCATGGAGGAACACCAACATGGTGACTCCATATTAGATTCTGTAAATATGCATGGAACAAATTTGACAAATATCTCAACTTTGGGACAGAACACACACCTTAAACTTGGAGAACTGTCTTCTTTATTTATCTTCTGTAATATCACAATTTCTTGACCTTATCCACTGATTTTGATTTTATTTTTTATTGCGTGACAATGAAAACGCTCTGTAAGAGTCTGTGAAGAGTCTGACCGGTGATGTTTATCTAATCATTTCAGGACTCGTTCTGTGCTTCATATCCTGTTTTCCAGTATTTTACCATGCCAGTGGTATTCTAGTATAGACCTAAAATGTTTCAAACACAATATCGCCTCCAAATGTAATTAAACAATTATTCTGAAACACAGAATTCCTTCTGATAATAGCTCCCACCCCAATACATACCCCTCCCCCCAAGAAAATAAGCCCACCAAAAACAAATATGAGCCCAGACCTTATTGGGGATAGACCATTATTTTTTTGAGGAGAAGAGGGGGGGGAGCACAATTTTTGTGGGAATTTTCTCACCTTTAGGTTGTGCATGATTTCTTTTGGTGGGCAATAGCTTATGCAAGAATTTCTTAAAAGTCAAAACACAGGACCTGGATAATAGAAAGCACTTGCTATTTATTTTTTATTTTTATTTTTTTTTTTGCTCACGGTTCCCCTTGAACAATTCTTTTAAGCCCTTTTTGCTGCACATTTCTTTTTCTAGAAATTGCCCAACCCCCTCCTCAAAAAAAATGGTCTGTTCCTTACCATAATTTTATAGGATATGGCAATCAGTAATTAAGGAAAATTGATGATTTGTTGTGTGCAGGTTATATTTGGAGGATCAAATATTCCAGTCCATCCTCATGTGTATAGTAATGGGCACATCTGCCTATCAATCCTGACGGATGACTGGTCTCCTGCTCTGTCAGTGGAATCTGTTTGTCTAAGTATTGTTAGCATGTTGAGTAGCTGTCAAGAAAAGGTAAGGTGATGGAAAGCCTTTAAGGTCAGCAAACACAAGGAGACTAGTCCCTGTGATTAGTCCCTGCAACTAGTCCCAGCAACAAGTCACGGGGACAAGTCACATCGTGTGAACTGGCCATTTTTACTTCAAAATCTAGTTGCAGGGACCAACTTTGGTCCCTGCAACTAGTCCCATGAATTCAAGCCATTTTGAATTTTTGGGACAAGTCCCTGCAACTAGTCCCTTCATGTAAATTCTTCAGGGGACTAGTTGCAGGTACTAGTTGCAAGGGCTAGTCTCCTTGTGTGTGCTGACCTTTAAGACAAATTTACTGCAAACTGATCTTGTATATGCAGTAAGTTCAAATCAGATGATCATTTACACACAATTTTACACTGTTGTGGTGCAGTTATCTAAATACAGTCCTAACTCTAGTAAGCGGCCACCTATTAGGCTGCCACCCTCCATTAAGCGGCCACTTTCCAAAGTCCCGATATATTTGTCAGTAAACTGCTCTATTTGATACCTCTATTCAACGGCCACCTCTATTAAGTGGCCGGCAAATTATCTTTCCAAGCGAAATGGTGACAGATGATATAAGGTGATAACTGATAACAACAAGAAAACAAGAACTGCAATTTAATCTGCACTATAACAAGTCATCAACAATGTTTGCATTTTTTCTGTGCATTATCAACCTGAAGAAATACTGTACATTTCAACTATGTGCCCTCTGTGTTAGAGCTAGAACTATGCATGGGCTGGAAATGCACTTGATGTTTTGTTAGAATGAATTTTGGATTTATCTTC